TTGAAGAAAAGTAGATTTTTGTTTGTATATGCTGTCAATTATAGTTCTTAGAAAAAAAAATCGGAATCTGCAAAAATCGGTATTGGCAGATCACACTAACAAAAAATCGGAAATTGGAATCGGCCAAGAAAATTGCAATCGGTGCATCTCTAGCTGGAATACTGGAATAGTGTACCCACAAAGCTTCACACACTGCGAGTGTGTATATGTGTGTGTTTCGTTTGTGTTAGAGCAGGAGGAATGGTTAGTCTGGTTCTACAAGGACACTTTCTCTAGCTGTTACTCAACCAAACGTCTCTCCTGATTGGGTAGTAGGAGCCAAGACTCTCCCCATGAGCCGACCGCATCCACCCATACAGGCGTTTTTGCTGCCAGCCTGACTGTGTGTGTCCTGCCCTGCACACTGGGACTCTGTATGAATTTGTGTAAAACACCTCATTAGCCTCCTTCAGTTTGTTTATTCCCCCAATGCTGCTGCGCCAGCCATCACGCCACATCTCTGTCTGTCTCTATATCTCTTTTTCGGACAAAATTGCTATTCCAAAACATTGCAGTGATCTATCTGCCTGCATAGGTCAACTACCTTTTAAGGCTGCATGTAGGGCTGTCGCGGTGAGGGAATTTCCCTTGCGGTAATTTTGAGTGGCTCAGTAGCATGCTAACGGTTGTGGAAGTGACTGATTTGAAAGGCTCTGCTGTGGTAGCTGCTTTATTTTGCTGTTAGATGCTTAGCTGTGTCCAGTAGAGTTTGATATTAGCATGGTTCTAAGCTAAATAACCATACACTCCAAGCACAAAAAGTGGAGCATGCAAGATTTTGGAACAAAGCTAATGACATTTCCATGAGACATTGAAGCATTTTGCCTCATTTTACTTGTCAAGGGCGTAAGTTATAACAGCTGCACGTTATAACTATAAATAAATTGAAATAACGATTTGGCTCATTGCGATTATCAATTTGCAAAGGCTGCCATTTAAAAAAATATTCACACTACATCTTTGTATATGTAAAGACACTGTTCTTGATTTTGTGTTTTCAGTTTTGCGGTGTCACAGTAAAAGATGTTACACATGAACCCAAAATAAACCACAAAATAAAAGCTTGATAGTTATTATGTTATTGTTATTTTGTTAAATACTATTTTATTTTATTTTACAGTGAAATATTACAGTAATAATAGTTCTTAATATTTTTATTTAGTAGTAGTAGTAATAGTAATAATAATATAATGAAATAATTAAAAAAATAATTTATAAATGTAAATTATAACTTTTATTAAATTTATTTAGATTAATTGTAACTTATTTATACTTTGTTTATTTGATTTATTTTAATTATAACTTTTATTAAATTTATTTAGATTAATTGTAACTTATTTATACTTTGTTTATTTGATTTATTTTAATTATAACTTTTATTAAATTTATTTAGATTAATTGTAACTTATTTATACTTTGTTTATTTGATTTATTTTAATTATAACTTTTATTAAATTTATTTAGATTAATTGTAACTTATTTATACTTTGTTTATTTGATTTATTTTAATTATAACTTTTATTAAATTTATTTAGATTAATTGTAACTTATTTATACTTTGTTTATTTGATTTATTTTAATTATAACTTTTATTAAATTTATTTAGATTAATTGTAACTTATTTATACTTTGTTTATTTGATTTATTTTAATTATAACTTTTATTAAATTTATTTAGATTAATTGTAACTTATTTATCCCAGTGGGTATGGGGCAGTTGATGCCCTGCTGCTGATGATACAGAACACAGACCCATGTGTGTGTGTGTGTTTACTTTGGCCAGTGTGTGTTCATATGGGAATAACTTACACTGTGGGCACACTGTGTGTGTGTGTGAGAGAGCGAGAGAGAGAGAGAGAGAGAGTGAATTCTTCTTTCTGTCCTGGATGGCTCCACTTTTACAGCACAACGTCTGATTTACTACTTAGAAGCTTCCGGACTTTACCAACACACCACTGAGCGCTAACTAACATAGAGGAGAAACAATAATGTACAGTATGTGGAAAATAATGTGTTTTTTAACCTTAAACCACATAAACACATTGCATTACACCAAATACACAAAATAATGTTCTTTTTAGCAACGTCATATGACCCCTTTAATGTTTTTTTGCTCTCTCGTGCAGCTGCACAGGATCAGCGGGTTCAGTGCGCCTCAGGTGATTTGTGCATAGTGGTCAGAGGGTGTGGCTTTCTTAATCACAAGACAAGCTCTTGGCATATGGGTGTGTGGCCCTACATTAGCGGCAGTGTGTGTTTGTGTGTCCTTGTTCCTAACCCTCCCTTTTTTATGTGTGTTTTTCAGGAAAAAGCAGACACCAACTTCAACTCTTCACAGCTACGCTCAGACATCGAGGTCAGTCAACCCACAATGCTGTGCATATCTGTTTTCAGACATTTGCACAGCTGCAGTCATCACCATAACTCACTGTTACAATACAACACGCTTTCATTCACAACGCCTCAGTGATAAATCAGCAGACTGCGTGCTCAGATTACACTGATTTGTGTGTCATCAGTGATTAAAATCAGTGTGTGTGTAATTGCAATAATTAACCACAGTGTTGTCTGTGTCCACAGGAATCGTTTGGCATCAGCAATGAGGTGTCCACTCCAGAGACTGAGAGAAAGTAAGAAAATCTCAATGCACTCAGTAATGTTTAGTGGCTGGTTGTGTCTTACATTTACAAAGGGAAACAAAACTAATGAACCAGATCTAGGATAGTTTTTAATATCTAAACCATCAGCTTAATGGTTTACCCAGACCTAAAGGACAGTTTGCAGGCTGTCTGAATTGAATGCGACTGCTGACCTCTCAGATATATGATCACACACATCAGATCTGCTCGAACAGCAGCCATATCACCCTGCAGCCCAAGACTGGTTGCCCACTGAAGCTAAGTAGGGTTGAGCCTGGTCAGTACCTGGATGGGAGACCTCCTGGAAAAACTAGGTTGCTGCTGGAAGAGGTGTTAGTGAGGCCAGCAGGGGGTGCTCACCCTGTGGTCTGTGTGGGTCCTAACGCCCCAGTATAGTGACGGGGACACTATACTGACAAAAAGCACCGTCTTTCGGATGAGACGTTAAACCGAGGTAACCTCCTAACCATCCCTTATCTGCTGATTGGCTTCATCACTCTGTCTCCTCTCCACCAATAAAGCTGGTGTGTGGTGGGCGTTCTGGCGCAATATGGCTGCCGTCGCATCATCCAGGTGGATGCTGCACACTGGTGGTGGTTGAGGAGATTCCCCCCTTCTATGTAAAGCGCTTTGAGTGCCCAGAAAAGCGCTATATAAATGTAAGGAATTATTATTATTGTCCATCCCCCATCTACCCCTGAGTGTATGTGTGTGTGTACGAAGGGGTGTGAATTCCTCCATTTTACTTCTTCACATCTTGGTGCTTCCAGGCTTCCTTCCTTCCGTCCATTGTTCTTAGATGTTTAAGATGAAACTCGCTCATTAGAGAGAGGAAGAAAGATATTCAGACCTAAGTGAGACCTCGTGAGTTTATAGTACACAAGGGTGTTAGTCAAGCTGACGAAATTAACTTTCTTTAGCATTATTGCTTAAATAAATCTAACACAATGACATAATCTGTGCCGACACAATTGTGTAATTGACAAAGGTCAGTTTGCTTAATTTAAAATGTATTAGTCATGTCGTGAATTTCAGAATACTAGAGTTTTTGTGAAGATGAGGATTTTAAATGAATGATGTCAGTGTACAAACAGCTCTGTGTCTCCATGCATCTTGTCCGTGTTGATGGCTTTTTCCTGTGTCGATGAACAGTCCACGTGCCATGGGAAAGATTAAATTCTACCGTTGTCATCCACACTCTCTGGAGATAAGTAGTATGCTTGGATAAATGTAAAACATATGGAGCTGACACATCTTTCATCATTTATATATCTCTGGGGTCCTATGCACATGTGGCTAGATTTGACTGGTACTCTGCTTTGTGATGCCTGTGAAACTAGCTTTGATTGACAAAAGCTAGCTTAAATTTTTCACTCAATATTGATATTTAAAAACAGTTGATTTAACTCTTTAACCTGTTTGTTTGAATGGATTGATATTGGATTGATATAATTTGTTAGTTCAACAAAAAAATGAAAATTGTCATTTTCTCACCCCTATGTTGTTCCAAAACTTTATTTTACGGAACACAAAAAAAAAATATTTTGAGGAGCACTGGAAACCAAATAACATTTTAGCCCATTGACTTTTTCAAAAACAAACAGTTTTTCAAAATAGTTTTATTTAGTCCGCTTAAATCTACTCCTGCAAGCTCATGTTCACCTGCCTTCACTTTTAAATGCATTGCCCACATCTCAAAATGCAATCAACAACTGATACATAGAATCAAGATCTGTCGATACTTCCGTTTCATTGTGATTAAGTATTATGTGAGAGCAGATTTTATTCTTTCCGCCTTGATATCTGCACAGAAGCAATATGTTAGATGTCTGCCATATCACAGTTCAAATCGTAATCATAATATTTGTCATAATCGCAATATGATTTTATGCAGCCCTATTTCATATCCTATTCTTTAGAACTGTCTGTGACATTATCAGCATAGTGCCATACCGGACAAAACAGTCTTTGCCAGACTACCCGGACTTCCTGTCTGTATGATTAGAAGAAGCTTTGGCCTCCAGAAAGGCTGTTCACGCTGAACAGCAGAGAACCCGATGACAGTGAGAGATGTGTTTTTGTGTGTGTGTGTGCGATTGTGTGTGAGTTTAGAAGCCCCTTCATTCTTATGTTGGCAGAGTCTTCCTCCAAATACATGCTACTTGGTTTGTATTTCAAATAAATTGTTCTTTTGAACTTTCTATTAATCAAAGAATATTTCTGTCATGACAACTCTCGGAGGGATTGGCATGGTAATGTACATGACAATGTTAATGTATTTGGTCTTGGCGGAATAGATCTGCTGCGCTGCTGCTGCGGCAGAGCAAATACCGAGACTTGCTACTGCCAATACATAGTAAGAAATATTGCTGCTGCAAATATAACATACATGAAATAATCCCATATAGCATACATGAATCACCTCGTAGCAGATCTATTCAGGTGGTGCTGGGAAGGTGGAGGGTTTCTGAAGCAAGCTGCACTGCTACGGCAAGCTCTAGTCATATATTTGAATGTTGAGCAGCGAACTCATTGGCTACCAATACAGGAGAGAACCAAAGAATATATCACTTGTTCCGCAAAAAATATTAAGCTATGATATAATAACACTGTTCTATAAAATGTACTACATTAATAATAAGAAATACCAAATCAGCTTTAAGTAGTTTTAACCTTCCTTTTTCTGAATTATATTCTTTCCTCATTATAGTAAGTTGGTAGAAATGTAACAGGGTAAAGAGAAAATGTACGTGTTTGAGAGTGTGGCTTTAAGGAAATCCCTCAAGCTCCATTTACCATGACCTCTAGTGAAGGTCATTTCCTGGACACTTCCTTTGCCATCTTTGTATATGTGTTTTTGTGCTCAATCATATATGTGTTCTGAACTCCAAAGCCAGGTGTAAGGAAGTAAACCAACCAATCGCAGGACACCAGGTGCACCCTGGGATAGCAGTGTTCCTCTTCATCAGCAGTTTGACTAGAGGAAAGAGGAAGTCAGACCACTCCCAGCTCTAAAAGAACAGTGAACATGCATCACTGTAGTGATGCATCACTGATGAGAACTACATGATGTTCCTCTTAATTCAGTAGTGAAAACATGTTGGCATAGTAATATGACTGATCTCACACTTTGGAAGACTAGTTCTGATAATTCTGATAACAGACATGCAAAGTCGACATAAGGTAAACTAGCTACATTCACAGCAACAGAACACAGTTGTCTGATTTAAAAAAAAAGAAGCTATATATGGTTTTGTTCATACCATTTTGTTCAGGTTGTAAAGAAAATTGACAACCATATTCCATAAACAAAGTGACTCCTTTAAATAATCAAGATTCACAACTGAATTTTGGGAGCACATTTGGTTGATACTTATGATCTAAACAAACACACTTAAAGGTATATTCTTTTCTAGGGCTGCACAAATAAATTATAAAAAAAAAAAATTATTGCGAATAGAAAAAAGCTAACTCTGAAACATGCAGCACATACTGTACATTTATGCAGCCCTATTCTTGGCAGTCTATTATCAATATTAGGGCTCTCTCTCAGGTTATTAAAATTGGTCAAACAGAGAGGTTTATGTAGTTGGAGAGGAAGTCAAAACACTAAAGTAGGTTGAATCAGATTTGTTAATTGCCTATCTGAGTGGTTGAAACCAGCAGATGCTGCCCAAAATTGTTTCAAATTGACAAAAAACTACAAATTAAATCTTCATAGATGTAGTTACTGTCTGTTACTATGGTTACAAGACATTATTCAACCCAAACAACTTCTGTTGAGTCTTTTAGTAAATGCAGTTGTCCATCCCAAACATGCCTCATATTAAATTGAAGAACAGAGTTGAATCGTGTGGAGAAAGTAAATATTTCAGAGTGAAGTGTTCTTCCCATCACATTCTCTGAATAACAATCTCAGCAAGCCAAGGATTCCTCTGTTAGGAGATAGTGGACATGACGGTTACTCGCAGTGAAGGAATGCAGCCAGCAGGGCTTATATTCTGCTAGACACACACCAGTAAAGACACAAGACACCCTGCGAAATGAAAGAAAGAAACTGACGGACTGTAACACGCTTGTATTGTATGCTGGTCACACTGTGCTCACACACATACAGCTCTGTCAATAGCAGAAATCCTGAATGGAGCCTAATTTACTGAGCTGCTCTTCAATAGAGCCTTTTTAACATGAGATGCAGTTAGCATACAAGCAGGAGACTCCCTTTGGATTCTGTGCGGGGTGAATGAGAGGTTAAACAGAGAAAGTTTGCGTTGCCATGGCAGCATAATGATATGATAATTCAGGGAGGCCTCTGTCATGCCTTGTGTCTCAAACACACACTTGGGTAAAAGAGCAGCATTGACGTCTTTATTTGTGCAGTGCAGTGGACGTCCCGAAATATGCAAGAATCTGTGTTTTTAACACAAGCACATTTTCACAGTCCTTGTAATGACATGTAACATCTGACCTGACACTAAACGCACACACACACACTGTCCTCTTGAGTGTGTGTAGATACTGATAGCTTTAGCAGTGAGAATAATGTCATAGATGTATTTGGGACACATGGACAGCAGATGAAAAGCATACACGCATGCAACCGTAATGATTTAAGCACGAGTGACTGGTAAAAACACTGTCTACCTGTGGAGAAAACCAGACTGGAGTACATAGGTGCACGCAAGTGTGTGTTAGTGTATGCTTACATGCCGGTGCCAGTGTTTACTTTAGTGCAGACTAGATTGAGATTGTTTTCTTAACCCAAGGATGAGCGAGAATCCACCACACAAATAAGAAAACCATAACACATACCCTTGCATACTTGCATTCATCTGCAGAACAAACACTCGTTTGAGGCAGAATGTTTTCTTCTCCCTCTGTGTTTTGGGTTTTGTTGACAGTCGGCTCAGTTCAGATGTTTCCTCTCACTGGCAGTTAACACATGGCCCAGTTTCACACAACATTTTACAACCGACTATATGACAAAGTCAACATGATCTATGTCACATGACCAATGGGAATGTAAACACTGGATATTTTCCCAAATGAGGATGGCATGTCCAGTTGTTCTGTATGAAAAAATATGGCTAAATATGGTTTTATTTTAATGATAGGCTGTTTATATCCATACACACACTACTGTTCGAAAGTTTTGGGTCTGTAAACAAAAATGTAACATAGCTGTTTTCAACATTAATAATAATATTGATTGATTTCTGACAAATCATGTGACGTGAAGACGGGAGCAGTGGCGACTGAAAATATAGCTATGCCATCACAGGACAAAATTGAATTTTGATATATATTAAAGCAGAAAATGTTTTTTAAAATTGAAATATTATTTCACAATATTGCTGTTTTTATTGTATTTTTTGATCAAATAAATGCAGCATTGGCGCGTGTAAGAGATGAAAACACAGACTCTAGATTGTTAAACGTGTTCATGCATTTTTTGTAATAATAAAATGTAATGAATACATTAATTGGACACAAACACACATTCCAACGAATGTATTTGTCCATCACGATTAGTTGCTCAGGTAATCCATCGACTGACTGATTTTGAAAATTAATATAGAAGAATATATTAGAAGAATATAAGAATTTCAAAGGTGATGTGTCTGTATTAGAGTAGGATGTAATTAGGCCAAATTTATTTTGTCAGCATCAATATGATATCTGAGGAGTCTTATATCTAGACTCCATAATTTAGACTCCATAATTGAGCTCTGATGTGTGTGTTAGATTTTTGTTATTTTGGTATTTTCCAAGGGCACCGTGCCTCAGAGCGAAGTGGAAATATAAACAGGCAGTGTCTGTCCTGTGGTGGCTCTTGTTCCCTTTTTCTCCCTCTCTCACTTTCTGTCTTCCTCATCTTGTTTTTGCTGCATCTCCAGAGCGTCTCATCTGTGCCCTGTGAGCCTCAGGAGCCTGACATGTGCTCTGTGAACAGCACCACACTGCCCTCTACTGCCTCAAATCATAGAAATTTCTATACATTTGGTTAACACAAATCCACCTGCCACTTGTACATACATATATCCTGTCAGTAGGAGATAAGGCTATATATGAGAAATGTTATGTTCAGTGCTGAAAAATTGAAGTGTTGTATTAAACGTCCTAATTCCATTCTTTTCTATGTTTTTCATCAGAATTGCTCTGCACAAATCCAGCTCTGAAGATGGATCAGGTTTGTGTTTCATTATGAAAACTATTATTATGATAATCTTTTGATGGTTTTGAGGAAATTTTATTGGAATTATTTGGTTTTATACCAGTCTGAAATGTTCTGGTGACAGGGTTTTCTGTAAACACTAAACGTCTGTTTTGTAGATGGGCAAATTTATAGATGATAGATAATAGACGTAGAGTCAGTTCTTTTTATAAAGCATTAAATGTAGGTATTTCGAAGTGTATGTTTGTACAGTTGTACAGTTAATGAGTTTGATGGTCCTGATGGCTTTCTCCTCTCCACATACAGGAAAATGGGACAACAAGAAGAAAAACAAATCCTTCTGGCAGAATTTTCGAAAGTCACAGAAAGGGGTCACAAGGCAAACATCAAAAGGTAATGAAAACAAACTCACTCCTCCCTTTATAACGCTCCGCTCACTTGTTTTTATTGTTCAGAGACACCATATGAGAGAAAAGATGGGCCACTCATAGGAATGTGAATGGAAGAAAAAATAACTTTAATATTGTGACTTTAATTACATCTTTCACTTAAATAGCCAATTCATTTTTTATACTGTTTGTTTACTCTAGAATGAGTAAAACTGGACCAGTTTTTTATTTTTCCTACAAAAAATGAATTTATGGCACCACTGTGGTCAGATATTATTGCTGAGTTCAAAATGACAATTGACAATATGATGACCACTGAATGAACTAACTTGGCCTAAAGAGGCCTTCCCTTGTTCTTGTTGCTCACCTTTGACCTTTGACCCTTCAGGAGAGGACATTGGCTATGTGGCCAGTGAGATCACTATGAGTGATGAAGAACGGATCCAGCTAATGATGATGGTGAAAGAAAAGATGATCACAGTGGAGGAGGCGCTGGCACGGGTAAACACACCCCATCATCCCCAAAAAATAACGCTAATGGGCTTTCCTGGCTTACTTTCATGTTTACTAACCTTACTTACCTAGACTGATGCCCCCTGCGCCTTCCTTCCTCCAAATGCACATACACACACTTGCATACATATAAATACATGCGTACTGACCCTGCATCTGAGAGCTGCAGTAGATTTCTTGTTTTGTTGAGATGAAGGAGGTGTCTAATTTCTGACGTAGGGTTAGCAGGGATTGGTTGGATAGGTTTCTTCTGTTCTTTTTCACTGTTTAGGTGTGTTGGGTTATAGTAGGTCTCTTTTTTCCTCTGTCATTTTGTTTTGAGAACATGATAATGATTAATTATCATCTGATAATGAACCTAATGGATGATTGTAGAATGTGGCTTTCTTCTCTCCACAAGGCTGACATTGATTCCGTTAACCAACTGGGTTTTCTACATTTCTTTAAAGTCTCTTCTGCTTCAGTTTTTTTCTCCTTTGGCCTTGTAGTTGATTTATGTAATGAGTGGTCTGACTGGATCTAAAGTTTGAATCAATGCTAAGCCTTTGTGGATAGTTGCCATCATCATACATGCTGTAAGCATGCATGAACATGTGTTTGTCCTCTTGTGTTTGTTTAAATGCAAATGAATGCAAATGTATTTTTTTCCAAATTAATGTTGCTTTACTTGTTCTGTGTTCTTTGTCTTTTTGTGGTATGTTTCTTTGTGTGTCCAAGAACGTCATGCATCCTTTTTGTTTATTTATCTAATTTTTAAAGAGTTTTAGATGGACTAGTCTAGTGGTGCATAGTGTAGCATGAAAATGGACCCAGGATCAGCCAATGACAGCCATTACTCCAGTTTTCAGTGTCATGCGATCCTTCAGAAATCATTCCAATGTTTTCTGACATTCAGAAACCCAAACTTTTGAATAGTAGTTTATATAAACACAAAAAATGTATACATAAAAAAAAATCTCAGATTGAATGGACATGACGTTTCTGTTTGTCCCTGTGTCTGTCTTTTTTCATGTATTTTGCTGGTGACTGGTGAAAGCTTTGTGTGTTTGTGTGCGTGTCTTTACATGGTTATATGAGGTGTTCTCTGACTCTATTTCTGTAACAGATAGGGTGTGTGAGTGTAAGGGCGAGGGGGGCGGCTCTCTTTGACCTCTTGTTCTCCATAGTTAAAGGAATATGAGAGGAACAGACAGTTGAGCAGCAGTACAGACACAGCAGAGTGGACTGATGGATCCAGTCCCACTGTTAACCTCTCCTCCGTCTGCAATGTAAGTACTTTACTAAACCACCCAGACTGTAGACCTGAGTGTATATAGGGCGTGGTTACAACATAACCTCATTCAGTCACATCAAAGTTTATTTTCCCCCAGCAGTAAGTGTTAGTAATGTCTCTCACTGTACTGACTGATGTCTTGTGTGTGTGTCTATAGAGTTAAATCTCTGCAGACCACACTAGTGACATTGTGGTTTATAAACTCAGGCAGTGGCAGTCCTTACGTCAACCCAGTTCATCCCCTTGCTAAAACCACACTGAACGCACTTTCATTTGTTAGAAACTGTAGGACTCTTAAAGCTTTGTACGTACCGTACATTAAATGTGCACTCAGTATTTGTTTATGCTGATAGTCTATGATACATAGTGGCATTATAGTATCATGCTTCAGTTTCTGATTTCACTGTGAAAATGTGCAAATCGTTGTCAGTCATGAGTATTATTAGGCTGGTCATATGATCTGAACGTGGCTTTTATTAGGTTACTAATATGACTGGAGTCGTCATATCATCTCATGTACATACTTTTTACAGTACGATTCATTTCTGTTGAGGTGAAACACTTTAAATGAGTAATTTACTGAGTGCACTATAAATTCTAAATCAATACAAGCAGTGATCTGAAAGCTGATATGTCATACGTGTTTGAATGGAGACAATGATGTTGTAATGCCTCAGTTGTAATGAGCATCTGGCACTGGCGGCTCACTGTAAAACCTCTAGTGTTGATGTAATTTCTACTTGGCATGAGGAGCTGGCACACTAAACATCCCCTGGTGATGAGGTCATAATGTGCGTCTTAACTGAAGAGTGATATGTGGCCATTTCTGCCTCCTGGCCTTTTCTTCTGCTTTGAGAACAACAGTTGGATATGTCACACTACTTTGGCTCTAGGTTCTATTACAAGAGCATGCTTTGTGTAGACTGTATATACAGTATGTGCCTGTGCACAGGGCCGTCCCAAGCATTGCATGAAGGGGTTCTCGGTTAAAGCCTTGAAAGGTTTGGTAACAGTGGATTTAGTTTGCCCTCTTGGAGAAATAAGCTGCCAGTACACAAATATACACATAGTTATCATGGAAACTCCGAGCAGCTTTCAGCCTCTGGAAGTAAACATACACCTCCTTTTCTAATGGTCAACAGCTAAGCTGTTTTTGCAATGCTTTTTGATGTTAACAAACCACAGCACTGCTTCGCTCAGCGCTTAAAGCTACAGAATGACTCACTCCGCCCAGCAAAGCCTTGTGTCCGCTGAGAGGAGTCACTGTCCGTCCAACGCTTTCTGTGCATCTTTGTTGTTTGTGTGTGTGGTCAGTGTCATTTTATGTCCAAAAGGATTAAATTGGGGGAAATTGAAGACCCGTTTTTAACTGACTTCTGATAATGGATTTGAAGAGAATGATAAAAACTGCTGTTGTGGGTGAAGCTCTTGTAAAGAAAGAAAAAAAAATTGTCTTTATGATAATGCATCTATATAAATAAATATGTATTAATTCTTCACAAAATAAAATTATATATATATATATTAGTGGTGTCAAAATTTGCACGTTAACGCAGGCGATTAATTTTTTTCAGTTTAACGCGTTAAAAATATTTAACGCAATTAACGCAGGGGCGGGGCTAGGGTTGGCCACCCCACTCACAAGTGCTGCTTCTGTCACTTTTCTCTTGACAAGAAGTGCATTTATTCAGTCGCAGAACGACTGAGAACGGAAGACGTTTCAGACACGCGCTCCACTTCACTTCAGCGCCAGGCGTGAGTCAAACGAGCGTGGAAACGGTACTGTGCTCGCAGTGCGTGCTCTTTAATTGCACGCACAAAGGCGCCGGCGCGCGCTGTAGCCTGTATCCTTTCATATCAAACCGCAAAATAAACTACGTGCATGTCGTGGTCAGTTAAGTCATGAATAATTTTAATTAATAATAATAATTTTATAGAGAAATCAGTATTGGTATCATTGATACTGGCCTTTAGTCATAAAAAAATATGCTATTAAACAACTATAAAAAAATATAATGTCTTTATGTGTAAGAAAAGGTAAAAACTTTGAGAGAAAATATGATGCGTGTCAGATCCGCTGCAGCAGCTCTTAAAGAAATAACAGCCAAAACAAACTAATAACCAGCTGCTGTGATGTCTATTAATCAAAGGACAAAGAAAAAAAAGAGGAAAAAAGAACTTTTGTAGCTTTAAGGATTCATCTATATTTAATTTAGAATTTAGTGTTTGATAACTTCAATTTCACTTTCTGTATATTTCTGCTGAAGGGCACAGGTAAATACATAGACTGTAAAAAAAAAAAGATGGACGACACGTCTCCTATTCCTTCCACTATAGAAAAGTGAAGCCAAAGCATCTCAGTATGGCCGCTG